ACCAGCTATGTACAGACAAAGAGTAACTTAGCTTGTTGACACCAATAGAAATCCCTTTCTTCTACTCATGTAATTATTTCCCTTCCTTTTCTCAAAATAAACCCTTGCCTTCACCCCACAACCAGAACACTCTTTGGGTTTCTGCCTGAATCTGCATTTTCCAAACAGCTATTCTTTGATCTCAAACACTTGTTGCCTTTCGCTTTGGATTTTATTTTTAGGGTTAGGCTGGTAGATTCCAGCCTTAGTGTGTGTCTCAGGGTAAATGAAGCAGGCTCTTGTTGCTTTCTATGAATCACAGAATAAAGAGCCAAACTACTTATAAGCACAAGGACTCCAAAGGTATCGCAGCACAGATGGAAAAACTCAAGTGCTTACCACCCTTGACAGTCTCCAGTTTAACTGCATAGCTCTGATTCTCTTCACAGACTAAAAGGGAAATCCAATTCAAGAAAACTGATAAGACTTTCTTTTCCTTGGAGAAAATGGACAGGGCAAATTGCTCTCAAAAACCTAAAAGCTCCACCGCCAATTGTCGAAAAACAATGGAGCCTCCGTTGGCTGTTCTTTCTGCCCACAGAACGCTCTCGGAGGAACTGCAGGGTTGGGAAGGAGTGCAGAGGCCTAGTCCCCATCTCAGGCACATCAAAGTTTTAATCAAAACCTGCCTTTCTCTTTGTGAAACTAAGCAGCTGCTATTTCACACCCACATATTGCTGGAGAGCATTCAATTACCCTCAACGACTTTGTTTAAAATGAAAAGGCTTTGCCTCCTGAGGACAGTGTGAGAGGATTGATTAATGTTGGGCAGAAGTGTAAGTACACACAACGATCCTAAGTACTGGAAGTTACAGCTGGGCCATATTTTACAAGCAACTCAAACCTCACTTCGAGTTTTTGGCAAAGAATAAGGACTTTTAAGGCAATTGGAAATATCGAGGGGCATTCTGTGCCATTTTCTCCCCTCTTCCCTTCTGATGATAAACACAGAACTAAGAAAACTAAGAGGAAGATGAGAGGTGATGAAGAAAGGCCAAATTTTGCCATACGGTTTTTCTGGAGAAGAGGAAGCATTTTATTTTTCTTTCTGACACATTGTGCCAAAGGATCCGTGACTAACAAACCACGCCAGCACATTGCTGGATTCTGTGGCTCTGTAACTCAGAAGTCACTTTTCTATCCAACATATTAAATGTCAAGGAAAATATCTCCGATAACAGAGATTTCTTCAGGGAGTTTGGCCGCTATATGAGTGCCTTCCCTGTGCAAATGAGCCACATATTTTGCTGCTGTCATTCAGGTGAGTTGCTAACCTGTAAGGGAAACATCTACCCAAGACGACATAAAGAAGCATGAATCATGGAAAACTGTATCTTGGTCCTCTATAAATGCCCCCCAAAAAACTTTACCCATGTATTCATAGTACACGTCTATTCAAGAAAAACAAAATCAGAAAGACACATACAAAAACCAGAGAAAAGGGAAAACGAAGAAAAAGAATCACAGAGATACCTCGGTGCATGCGTACTATGCAGAACCAGGAGACTGAGAGCTCTGGTAGAATAATTAACGCCTCTGCAACATATGGAAAGGTGTGGGCTCCGGGCCAGTCCTAATCAAAAAGAGCAGTATTTCTCCGCCATGCAGACGGAGCCCCCTCGCCTCACTCCACCATGCTCTGAGGTCAGGATCCCTGATGTGAAAGAGGACTGCATGGCTTGGTGAAAGAAGGGGAAAAGAATTACCGGTGAGGGCTACACTTCACTTCTATTTCTTATAATGATTATTTTCTTTCAGAAAAGCAAAAGCTATGATCAGTGTGGCAATATAATGGCTGATTTTTTGTTTTTCTAACACCTGCAAAGGAAGCACATTGGCAAGAAACAGCAAACCAATGATTTCATGCAGGTTTTCACCCCCCCAGAAAGCCATGCTCAAAATAGATGGAAGTTTTTCTCCTTCAACAACCAATCCCGTAGGGGCCACGGCGAGAACCCAAGAACCTAAACAACACTGTGTATCGTTATTCTCAACGGACCAAAGTTATGTAAAATAAGATCCAAGGAGTTTATCGGGTAACTTCAAAACTTTAACTACACCCGTTATTTAACATTTCAGCACATCTCGATGGGACGGTAGCCCCAGGGCCACTGAGCTCTGTTCCCAGAAGTGGGAGAGCAGATCAGACGACAAGTCTTTCCATAGACTTGGGAGTTTGTAGGAACGTTTTAATTCAGCTTAAAAAAGGTGAGCAGAGAATGAAGCAAATTCAAGGGCCCTGCTAGCTAGGAATTTGAGAAAGTTAGAGTATATACCCTGAAAATAAGTAAGTAAGTAAATAAATAGAGCTAGGGAGAAGGAAATCCAGGGGAATTTTTTCCTTACGAGGCTAAAAATTTCATATTTTAAAAATAACAATAAACTCGCTTCTTTCTTATATTTTTTAACCAAAGACATTTAGAGTTAGGGACAACAGGTTGCAACAGATCCTTCCCTTTCCCACATCGGTGTTCAAGAGGAAGCATTCACTAGATGTCACGTGGGAAACACCATCCTTTCCATCAGGAACAACTCTGGAGACAAAACAGTGGACGTGAAATGGACTACCAGGCCACACCACGTGCGAAGCAGTCACGAACGGGGAATGCATTTCTGCTGCCGTGTCAAATTGGGGGATGATCAGGATGGAAGAAGGACCGAAATGGGGAAGGTTTCCAGGTGACATCCGTGATCTGAATGTTCAAGGAGGGGAAGGAAACAGGTTATAACAACAAATTACACATCAAACAGCTGAGTCTAACGACTTGGGCAGATTAGTGAAAATTAAAGCTACCATTACTGAGTGCTTACAACATGCCACACTCCACACAAATGTTCCCTGTTGTTTTTCTAAGGCAATGCTAACGAAGCTGAGCCCCGGGACCCAGACTCAGATCTCTCATCTCTGTTGGCCCCCCTCGCTCCCTAGTTGATCCCTACGCTCTCATGGCGTCAGTGGCCCTGCACTGATGACACCCACATGTCTATCTGGACATTTCCTCCCACTCCAGACCTGTATGGCCAACTGCCTGTTGGACATTTCCACCTGATGTCTAAAGAATATCTCAAACTCACTGCGTTTAAAACCAAACTCCTGATTTCCATCCATTCCCTGCCCCCCAAAAAACAAAATAATAACAACAACAGAAACTACTCCTCCCTCATCTACCTTTAGAATACGTCCAGGAGTGACCACTCCTCACACCTGCACTTCTGTCGCCGGCTCTGAGCCACCACCACCATCTCTGGCCTGAATCGCTGCAGCCTCCTAAAGGCAATGCGTGTGAACTTCCCCTCCAGTGGCCCTCAGAGTCTGTGCACTCCAGACTATTACACGTGGCATTGCCAAACTTTTACACACACAGGACAGGCTCCAGTCACAGACACTGTTGTCTGAAGGGGCGACTAAGAGTGATTCTTGGACAGGTGACAACAGAAACAAGAGGGGCTGAGAGCGGAGGTGAAAGGGAGGGTGCAGGGCGGGGTTGAGGGTATCAAAAATGGGACATCTCAGAATATCCAGAGAGACAAAAGAGTCTAAACTGTAAGAAATATCAAGTCCTAGTTCAAATGTTCCCTCTCCATTAGCCTTTCTTGACTCTCCAGGTAGAGTTCAAGACCTTAATTATAGCGTCCATCACATTACCGGAGGCCTGTGCTGAGTGCCTCCCCAACTAGGCTTTGAACTCATTTTGCAACCCCAGCACCTGCTGCAGCACCTGGGACCTGGTAAGCCCTGGGCCCAAGTGCACTGCGTGTGTAACATGATATCGTGGAAGGTGCGCTGGGAGCACGGAGAAGGAAGAGGCTGCATTCTTCCGCAAGACCAAGTTAACACTTTACGTAGGAAGTGAGGCTATAGAGTGAGAAAGAAAAGCATTTAGGTTTATCTAGGAAGATAAATAATGCTGATGGGACCACGGTGTGGTGTGAAGAGACGGAGGGCATGGCTTGAGAGGAGGTGGAGGAAAACGAAGCAGAAGAAATAACTGGGGCGTGGGGTGGATGTGATATTGAAAAGTGGGTTAGAACTAGGAAGCTAAAGAATGCAGCAGAGTCAAAGGAAGAGTTTTTCTCTCTACCCCAGAGAAGGGGCAGTGGGGAAGGGGGCAGTGATGTTTCAAAGGAAAAAGGGAAAACCAAGCAACTAAGAGTACTCGGTTGGGGGTGATGGGTGTAAGGACCAGGCAAGCTCAGACCTGCAGCTCTGAATCTTTTCATTCCCAAGTACCAAGTAAATTTCTGAGCTCCAAAAGGAGGGTGGGAGGCCAGAGGCTCCATCATCTGAGGTTAAAACTGGACTATTTAGTGAGGTGTGAGCCAAGAGGTTAATGAGGTAGGAAGAGCAACAACACTGTGGAGTGTTGTTTACTACTTGTCTTCCAGGTTCCAATGAACTCCCCACTAAGTGGTGCTGGGGGCTCAACTTCTCACCCCGCACCAGACACCCTGCCGTCCGCGGGGTAATTCAAGGGAAATTTGACTGGACAGTGGAACTTCCTCACCGCAATGAGGGTAGTATTAAAGCAATTCGCAGTGGATACCCACCCAGCTTTGTCCAGGCCTTGAGGAGAGAACTGGGGAGGACACAGGATACAAAAAAAAAAAAAAATCACTTCTTTTCTTTCAGTACCCATCACCCATACTCTCCCCTCACTCGAATGTAAGTAAGCTCGTGAGAGCAGGGCTTTGTCCGTCGCCGCTGCACGCCCGCGGAGCAGCGGGGATGGCACAGAGGGGACGCTGAGCTAATAGTGGTTGCCTACGGAATGGACTCTGCGCAGTTCCACTTGGTTATATTGAAGGATGCCACCGGTGGAGCCGCCTAAGAGAGCGCAGGGTTAAGACTATTTTGAAGGTCCCAGTGCGACGGCCTGAGAAGCCCCGAGCTGACGGCTCGGCAGGGCAGTCGAGAAGGGGATTCGAATCTAGGGCCCAAGACTGCGCGGATTGCAACTGACCTTCCGGCGGGGGCTCCCGCGCGGGGCGCAGCAGCCCGGCTCCGGCGTACCGCTCCCGCCGCCCCCCGGCGGCGCTCGGCGCCCGCTGCGCACGTAGGTCACCTGCCTCCGGCTGGCCCCGCGCGGCGGGCCAGGCGCGGGCCGCACGTGCGCCGCGGGCAGCGGGGGTGCGGGATTCGGCGGGGCGCTGCGGGCTGGGGGTCGGGGCCCGGCGCGCCGCAGCTCCGCGCAGAGCCGCAGGCCCACTAGCAACGCGGCGCCCAGCAGACACCGGCTCAGTGAGCTGCAGCCCCTCCCGGGCGACTTCTCCCTGGCCATGGCCCGGGCACACCCCAGGGCTGCGTTCGGCGGCCCTCGAGCAGCACCCGGCCCGCAGCAGGGATGTGGCCCCGCTGTCCTGGGCTGCCAACTGTGGGAACACCCCCGGGAGCCAGGGCGCGGACTCAGACCCGCCTCCCTCCTCCTGTCCAAGGAAGCCGCGGCGTAACCTTATCCTGCCCGAGCGTTCCCGGACGCTGGAGGAGGCGAAGCGCGGAGGGCCAAGAGGGATCTCGGGGGTGCGGGCGGATCCTTTGGGCAAGAACCTGAGCCTAGCATCACCTCGAAGGTCCCTAAGGAGCCTCCCTCCGCGCCCCGGCCTCCAGAGCTGGCGGAACTGAAAGCTACATTGCCAGGGGAAAAAACGCATTCCTAACGGGAGGGAACCTGGGCCGCAACTTCATTTTCTAGTGCTAGGTCTGTTAAAGAGACACGGGATAGGTGAGCCGCCAGGTTTTGCTACAAGGAGCAAGTTCTGATTGTCAAGCAGTTTGTGCCATTAAGCACAATATAAAAATGCATTGCACTTATGCCCAGGTTTACAACTTCTCTCCCTCGAGAAAGAAGGGGGAGGAGAGAAGAGCACTCGCTCAGTGCAGAATAATCAAATTAGAATTATTCCATTTCTAAATTCTGCCTGAAGCCAATCCGTGCTTTCTCTCCGTGTTATGAAATGTGTGTGTGTGGGGGGGGGGGGTGACAGAGGAGAGAGAAAAAGCCTGCTCAGATAACTGACAGCAGGGAGACAGAACAGAAAATACTGGCATGATGTAAATCAAATTAATTTAGCTCCACACACACACACACCTCCCTGCTGTCTTGCAGAGATACAGAGGGACAAATTTATCTTTCAGCAAAATGCTCCCCAGCTGGTATTTTCCTCACCACCTTGACCTTAATTAATCAGGCTGAACGCTCACAGCCTGAAGTCCAGTGTTGGCTGTTCCATTTTCAATTGTTAATAAAATTCTTTCCCACAACCCTTTTGCAGTTTGGGTTTTAGATTTGGGTTTATTTTCTTTAGCGGTGGCCACATTTTTTTTTCATACTTCACGCTTGCATTTTTCTTGTTTCTGCGTAGACTACCCCTGCTGACCCACCCTCTCCACTTAAGAGCCTATAGAATGAACAACAGAGATGAAATGTGGAACCCCCTCCGCGACACCCTATTTGATTTTCCGAATTTTTCCATAGGGAGCCCTCCTCCCTAAAACCCCCCTGGCTTTAGAAAGACCCAATTTATTCTTTGTCAGTGTACAAAGCACTTGGCCTCTTTCTGTGTAACAAAACTCAACCCAATCTAGTCCATTCCCTGAGCACATCAGGTCCTCGGGCTCCTGCGTGTTTCCTGATGACTGACTCGTTTTCCCTTAGATGCAGCTTTCCAGCCACTGCAGATGGGCTCTGTGTTTTACGGATTTTAAAGAATCCAAGCAAGTGCATTTTTCCCAACAGGCTCTAAGAGAAAACTTCACACTCTGTGTCTATTTAAACAACATATGCAGCAATGTCAGCTATGAAATGTGTATTGAATGAAGATTCTGTCTCACAGGAGCTGTTAGACTTTGGACCAAGTACTTCTCTCAGTTTTGGGTTGGATAAATAGACCTATGTATCTGGTAAGATTACACAGATCACATAAAGTACTATATGTTTAGTGCCTAAGTAATACCTGCTCCACAGATGGTAAGTAATAGCAATTATTTTTATCATTTCTTTACCATTAAAGAAAATTGTGGATGTTATCATGGAAAACAAAATTTAAGCATTGGTTCCAAGGGAGGTGAATCTAACGAAGTATAAGGAGATTCATAAATGTCTTACACAGGCTTCTCCAGAGTTAGGAGGACCCAACAATGCAAGAAACAACCCTTCAGACTCAAGATCCCACAAGTGCCCTCTATTAAGTTGTAATGGTATTTGAGGCACGATTTGTATTTACTTGATTAACCTGGATCGCTGGTGTCTGATGTAGACCCCGGTAGAAGTTTTATTTTTTCATGCAACCTACACAGTGTCACTAACTAAAGAAGTAATTGTTTGAAGGTTATACCACTAAGTTATGCCCTCTGTTCGTCTGCTGAGTTACTCTCCAGAAGGGAAAAATGAGGAGTTTCCTATATGATTAAAATGGGAATATTTAATAAGACTCTGGATGGGGGGGTGGAGAGAGAGACACGTAGGACAGTGTAGCTCTTGAAGAGAATGGGCAAAATGACCTCATATTTTCCCTTCTGTCATGTCTCTGGTTCTCTAATAATGTTTCCATTATGAGGGGGAACTCTAAATAAAAATGCAATATTTCAATGCCCTTTTCCCTTTTGCAATGGTCTCTATGTGTTTATTACTAATTAAAAAGAACTGTTTACATGTACATCGAACCATTAACTTTCTAGGAAGAAATCTCCTATTTTTAACTTCCACACAATATTTCCCTGTGTCATGGATGATAATGAATAGTGAAATGGGTCAGTTAGTAGGCTGGAGAGGCAAATCCAATCACCGTCGTAGCTGAAAAGCAGTCTTTCATGCACGACCTTTGCTTTTCGCATAGAGTTGAACTTGTCGTGGCCGTTTCTGGATATGTTTCAAAAATGCAGATAATCATTAACCACTGAGTTGTACATTGGTTAATTAAACTTGCAGGTCAGTAAATCACAAAAGCAGCCTTCATTAGATCATAAATTACATCCTCCTTGAGGTTTCAGCCAACAAAATGAGTAAAACAGAACATTTTTACTGCTAATCTCCTAGACACCAGACACTGCAAATTGCACACATGCCATAGTACACTGCTTCTCTCACTGGGTTAATTTCGCCTCTCAGGGATGTTCTGCAAATTTCTGAAGACATTTCTGGTTGTTACTATAGGAGATGGTGGAGAGAGGATGCTACCAGCATGCGTGAGTAGAAAGCAGGGAGGCTGAAAAACATCCTCCAATGCAAAGGATAGCTTTCTGCAAAGAATTATCAGTCCAAAATGACCAGAAAGCTGAAGTTGAGAAACCCTGATGACAATTATACAACACAGATGCGAATATGGTGACTTTTTTTAAAAGATTATATTTTTTAATATTTTATTTATTTTTAGAGAGGGGAAGGGAAGGAGAAAGAGTGGGAGAGAAACATCAATGTGTGGTGACTGGGAATTGAACTGGCGACCCTTTGCTTCACAAGCCCATGCTCAATCCACTGAGCTACACCAACCAGGTCTGGGTTTTTGTTTTTTTTTTGTTTGTTTGTTTGTTTGTTTTAAAGAGAGGGGAAGGGAGGGAGAAAGAGAGGAAGAGAAACATGGATGTCAATGTGCAAAACAAGCATCTATCAGTTGCCTCTCGAACTCCCCAAACTGGGGACTCGGCCTGCAACCCAGGCATGTGCTCTGACCAGGAATCAAACTGGCAGCCTTTCGGTTTGCAGGACAGCATTCAAGCCACTAGCCTACTTTTCATTACAGACTGTCCAGAGAGAAAACAGGCTGACAGTCAAGGATCCTCACCTCCACTAAGTAGTTGTTTCCGCTTCACAATGTGAAGTACTCAGCCTGAGTTAAAGTAATCAAATTTAGGAAGCAATAGAACTAAAATTTCTGGCATTAATATCTGCCTTCACCCCACCTATTCCCATTATTATTTCTTCATGTAATGCATGTTCATTGTGGAAAATACACACAAGCAGCAGAACATATCAGCAGTCATTCATATAGCATGGTTTAGAGACAGCTACCCTCTCGGACTTTTTTCTATGCATATACATTGTTTACAAAATGGGATTATATTCTTATGATATCTAGAATTCGCTTTAAAAAATCCAGTTGGGAGGTAAGAGATAACTTGGGGTATAAATGAAGGAAGAATGGCTGAGTTTATCATTGTTATAGCTGTGTAATGGGGATCACAACTCTCTATTGTTGTGTTTGAAATGTTTCATAATAAAAATGCCATTAAATGGTAGCTTATTAACCTACATTAATTTTTTATTGCAGCAACATTGGTTTACAACATTATATAAGTTTCAGGTGTACAAGGTTATAATTTGATATCTGTATATTCCATATCATGCTCACCACCGAAAGTCGAGTTTCCATCTGTTACTATGCAGTTGACCCTCTTTACCCATTTTGCCCCCCCTCCAACCCCCTCCTCATCTGGTAACTACCAATCTGTTGTCTGCCTCTATGAGTTTGTTTTTGTTTTGTATCACTTGTTCATTTGGGGTTTTTTTCCACACATGAGTGAAATCACAGGATATTTGTCTTTCTCTGATTTATTTCACTTAGCATAATACCCTCAAGATCCATTCATATTATTGCAAATGGCAAGATTTCATCCTTTTCTGACTAAGTAGTATTCCATTTTGTATACAAGTGTATTCCATATCTTCTTTATCCATTCACCTGTTGATGGACACTTGGGTTGTTTCTATGTCATGGCTGTTGTAAGTAGTGCTGCAATGAACGTGGGGTGCTCATTACTTTTTAAATTAGTGTTTAGATAAATACACAAAAATGCAATGACTAGATCATATATTTTAGTTCTATTCTTGATTTCTTTTTGAGAAACTTCCATACTGTTTTCCATACTGGCTATACCCATTTACACTCCCACCAACAGGGTATGAGGGCTCCCTTTTCTCTGTATCCTTTCAACACTTGTTATTTCTTTCTTTTTATGGCAGCCATTATGACAGTTGTGAAGTGATATCCCGTCATGGTTTTGATGTCCATTTCCTTAATAACTAGTGATGTTAACACCTTTTCATGTACCTTCTATAACATTTTTAATGGCTGCACTTACCATGATTTAATCTATCTTCCACTGTTAAATGGTTAGATCATTTCCAAGTTTCATTTGATAAACAATGCTGTAATGGACATCTTTTAGCTCAACCTGATAGATCAGATGTGGACTGTGAGGGAAAGAAAGCAGTCAAGGATGATACCAAGGATTTTCCAGAGTATTGGAAGAGTGAAGTTGCTGTTAACTGAGAAGGAAAGGACTCAATTAAAAATGATTTGGGGTGGAAAATTAAGAGTGATTTTGGTGGTCTTGTTAAGTTTGGGACTCCAAGCTCAGGAAGACATCCAAGTGAAGATATTAAATAGGCAGTTGCATTGAAAAGACTGGAATTTGGGAG